ATTAGGGTAATATTTAGGAATACTTCGAACCTCTACTTTCCCATCAGAAATTAAAAAGATATGGTCTGTTTTCTAGAACATTCGGTGAATATGTGACTCAGATAGTATGGTATCAAATTGTATATTTTTTTGTTTTGTTTTGTTTTGTGCTTGTTGAGGTTTTTTTTTAAAGGTCATTTTGTGTTTCCTGGTATAGGGAATCAATAACAGCTTGTTAATTATAGAGAATCTCCATGCCCCCTGCGGCCTATGCTGGTGTTGTGTTACCCAGCCATCATTCTCACTCTGAACTATGCAATTCATTCTAAGCAGGCATATTTAAGCTATGACTATACCCCATGCTTTATCTGCTTTGGATGCAGTGGTCGCCACCCATTGTTCTGTACTGTACACTGCCACTTTCCGTACTTCGTGCTGATTCGATACTAGGTTGTAAAATTACCAGTTCATCACTGATTCGTTAAATCAATTGCGGTACAACTTGCATGATTTATCATAACAGCTGCAGAAGATTAAAACTACTCCCCACCGGTTAGGACTCCCAGCAGCATTCAGTACTCAATGTACTGTAAATTTAAAGAAAGACATCCGTAGTTCACATTGCAACATTAGTTTGACTATTTGACCTTTGAAATTATCCATGGAGTTTTTTTATAGGTGTATTCAATATTCGAAACATATATTCTCATAAATAACTCATCCACGCTTATTCCTAATATCATCTCCCGTCAAACATAAGTATTTTTTTTTTTTTTAATTCTTTATTTTTATAGTGCATATGATATAACAGCGTGCATGGGGTACCCCAACGGCATTCCTCATGCTTTTCATAAATTTATAACAGTAATGGGTATGTTCTTGCGTGCACAATTTTATGTTAAATATACAGTTTAGTAAGCTTATTCTCAATGTATTGTCTATTATATATAATGCCACGACAAACATTCATAGACCAGATAGATGGGTATAACAGGAGTATGACTGCTTAGGTATGAACCATACGTTAAGGTACATGCTAGTTAAGTCACTACTGTGGTTGCTTATTTAGTTGCTGTTCGGTGATATGTCATTTGTTAAACTTAAAATATTAGTTGTCTAGTGGCATTCTGAGGAGATAGGAGTAGTTTTGTAGACTCCTGGGGTCGAGCTAACTGCTCTGAGGATATTTAGTTAAGCAGTTGCTGTGATTTTGCGCTAGTGGGGATGCCTTAGAGTCTGCCTCTGGATTAACGTTTCACAAAATGATAATTAAGATAACGCTTAATAACAATGCAAACTAAATGATAAGTAAAATAACGCCATGGGGGCCAGTGGGCATAGAGACTATTAAATACGTATCATGAGTATTAACCACACATGCTATTGAATATTTGCACATAACATTACAGTCTCGTAGCTGGTCTGCTGTGGCGTGCTACTTGGAATTTACCCCTCGCGGATCAGTCTCAGGAACAGACTCAGCCTATGCCAGCAGGGGACACGACACAGTCTCTGAGTGCAGGGGCCCACTGCCTGACATCGCCTATGCTCCGGTAGGTTGGGGTTCGTGACTTGTGTGTCGCACTGTTCAGCTTTTTAGGTCGTGGTTGTGGTCCTGCTTGAGTGCGCTTGGGTGATGTCTTCGGCGCCATTTTGAGGCTCGGCACTGATCTTCTTAGGTGCTTAGGTGGAGAGCTTTTGGGTAAGTAGGCTTCTTTGTGTGGTAGAGAGGGCTGGAGCAAAAGGCGTGTTAATTTCTGCCAGAAGTCGGAGAAATGTCCCTCTATTTTGGAGAGGATGTCGCTGTGTGCTTTGTCGGCAATAGGGATCCCATGTGGACAGTGCTGTATCTCGCTTGCGGGATCTGCTCCCCACTGCATCTTGAGGGTAAATCGTTTTTTGGGTGTCTGTAGCCTGTGTTGTAATGTGCACTCTGGCCTGCTGTGCCTCCGACCCTTCCTTCCGTTTCGGGCCTGCCACGGTTTTGGAGCCGCGGTCTTGCGTTGCGTCTGGAGGGGTAGGCATCTTGTCTTGATGTCGCAGTGAGTGCTTGTTGTTTGTGGTGGCGGGCATCGGGCTATCTTGTGCCTGAATGCCACCTTGCTTGCTGCAGCTTCGAAGTGAGGGCTTTCTTTCCCTCTGGCTTTGGTTCTCCTGGCATCCGCCATTTTGATTGATGCGCCTGGGCCACATCGCAGGTTGGTAATGTCGCTAGGCTCGGGTTTTGTCTCCGCGGTCTGAGCCCCAGGGTGTGGACCGGGATCACTCCCACCGGTCCAGAGGGGGGGGGAACAGGGTCCGGTCCGCTTGGGTTCGGGCCTCTGGTAGGGTTCCGGTTGGCAGGATAGTGGAGCAGCGGCCGTCCACCCCACTCACAGCCGGAGTAGGCCCCAGTTGGGATACCGATGACCTCTCCTCCAGGGGACTGTAGCTCGAGGAGCCAGCCTCACCCTGGTTTCGGATACTCCTGTGCATTGAGGATTGTTGCTGGAGGTCGCGTCTGAAGCGAAAAACTCTTGGTTTTAAGGCTTTAGGTTTGGAAACTTGCAGGAGCTGAGTATGCATGCGACCATCCAGCTCAGCGGTTCGGCCCCGCCCCCCCAAACATAAGTATTTGTGGCGGTCACCAATATTTAACCCCTTAAGGACCAAACTTCTGGAATAAAAGGGAATCATGACATGTCACACATGCCATGTGTCCTTAAGGGGTTAAAACCATGGAGTAGTTTTTAGATTTTTTAGCAAGGTACAGGAGTAAAACACATTAATATACACATTGTAGTGAGAGAAAGAGAAAAAAAGTCCCATTGCTGTATCGATAATTCGCACTCCGAATGTCACTTTGTAGGTCACTAAATGCAGCTATAATCTTCATATATCAGACTGATCCTCCCTAAATAGACAGTCCATTAACAGTCCAATCATTATTTATATTAATATATTATTGCATTATTTATATTATTGAATTATATACTATTGAAAAAAATTTGCATTTATAAGTTTACGTCTTAATTGAGAATTCTGGAGTACATTGATTTTATATAATTATGTATCTAATTGAGAAATGTGGGTTCAATCAATCTATTACATTTTAATAGTATCACTTATATGCGCATTCATTTCTTGGTAGAAGAAAGTGAAAGTATCTTCGGCTAGGGAAACCAAGCAGGTAGTTAAAGAAGTAAAGATACCCTCCTTACAGCAGCAATGATGTCAAACAATGATAGATCAAACTGCTTATTCTATGGATTACTGGCTGATGTAAAACAATAAATAGATCCATATGTTTATATTTATCTAATTTACACGCTACAGCAATTGCTTGAATAGGTGAATAGGTGAAACAACACCTCTTAAAGTGGCACTGTCACTCCACCACCCTAAGATAGAATCTTTATGAAATACTCATACTGACTGTGTTGGAATTTCACTGAAATTCCAACCCAGTCAAAAGATATACTGAGACACAATAGGAACTACTTTGTCTCAGTAATTTTCCTACGCCTAACACTTCTAGGCACTGGGTGGAGCGACCTCAGTCTAGAAGTGTCAATATCCCAATTGTCACCAGTAACGGCTGCAGACTGTCTTGCGGCATCCTCCATAGACCTCAATACTGTACTCTACAGGTAAGTAAATCTCTCATTTCCCTGCGGCAAACAAACTACCAGAGGTGGTCACCATCGGGGGTCTTTGTAAATTATGCAAAGTCGCCAGACGGTGACAGGGGTCTTTAATTGTTGAGAACTCAACAGTCATGAGAGTTACAGACACATTCCAACTATGTTAACCTTAAAGGAACTTTCTGGGCACCATAACAACTTCATCACAATGAAGTTGTTCAGTTGCTAGGGGGTCATGGGCACTGTCTTACCTTAAGGGATTAAATCATTTAAAACATATGAATGATAAAAGCATGAGCTATGGTTGGGACTTTTCTTCAACAAAATGGTGGATAACTCCTCCTATTTATCAAATGAGAAATAACTTTTCTCATTTGCTCTGAAAAAAATGAAAATGTTTCTAAAAGCTCAGCCAAGCATATGACAGTTAAAGAAGTGATTGTGGTTATATAAAGCTCCGTACCAGTTTCCAATCTAACTACTGTAATAAAAGGGAAAGAAGATCATAATGTAGTGTTGAAAATGTCTGTTTTCAATGCCTTAAATGTAAAGAGGGGAGATAGTTTTAACTCTTACAGGTTTATTTACTAAAGTGAGAATTTCAAGTAAATTTAAAGTGAATTTCAAATTTAAGTCCAAAACTATTTTGGACTTAAATTTTTAAAATTCACTTTAAATTTACTTGGTATTCTCACTATATTGAATAACCGTGCTACAAAGACACTTTACTTCTCTTGCATTACAACGATCAGGATTATTCAGTAACCTGAAATACAGGAAAAAATGGAAATAGCATTGAGTATTTTAGGGCAAAATAGCTGATTTATAAAAACTGTGTGATTTCCTGGTAAGTTCTCCATAATGCATGCAGTGATCCAGCCCGATATTTGTATTATTTCATTTTATTTGGAACAATG